AGTCTCATTTTCACCTGTTCAGACTGACACTGATTCCTTCTCTGAACTCTTATTTTACTGCAACTCACTACCACAGTTTAGTGCCCTATTGTCCTCTAATTGTTCCATACATGGATATTAAAGTATTCCATGATGGTACCCTGACGAACTGCTTAATCTCTCCTGAACGAGCACAGGTTCTCAAGAATACTTGCTGCTGTTAGTTTTTAATTCCGCTCAATTAATTTACTATTAATTCAAAAACTACCATTTTAAAACAGTCAAATTGAATATATTTTTAAAGCATCTGAAGTTACATGTTCTTAAGTTCATAGGAACAAGAGGTCCCAAAAAGTAAACTGTTTTCCCTTGGGAAGTTTTTCCATGAATGAGGTTAAGATAAGGTCAAAGGATTTCATGGTCTTTCCATTAAAAAAAAAAAAAAAAATCAATACATTGGTATTCATTTACTTCTCAAATATTTTTCACTTAACCAATACTACTGCAATCTTTTTTAAAAAGAGCACCAAAAAGATACTGATGCTATAGAAATCAAGAAGAGCTATGATAACTGTTCTACTGAAGTAAAATAACAGCAATTTTAAAAATACTGTTTTTTAATAAATTTTTCCCATTGTATGCCCACAGCTTTTATAAAGCAAACAATAGTTTATTTTCACCTTGTCACGACTTCATATACAACACAGTCTTGTACATCAGTAGAAAAATATTAAGAACTAGCAAGGATAAGATATAATTCATCTGAAAAAATGTATATAACATATCAGATATAAATAAAGCCCCATATTTAATGAGATAAAACCAATATCTCTTTAATCTCAAAGACAAAATAAATATCCATGTAAAACAGGATGGAGAAAAAGAACTAGAGCACCAATTGAAGGACAAATACACACACACACACACACACACACAGCAAAAAAACAAATAAACCAAAAAACACTCACACCACTGGTGTGTACTTATAAATAAATAAAGTCAACTCAACGTTTTCATTTTAGACCTCACCACATTAAAAGTCTACAATAAAGGTACACATCTTGTCAGGAGACTTAAATAGTACTAGTCACTCATATTTTCTAGCCGTGTATATAACTTAATAAAAGTAGCTGAATCATTTCTTTAAAATTACAAAAAGGATTTCAATATCACGGCATGTTTTTATTCTTTTTCAATAAAGCTGGTATTAGTTATCAGTGATTAGGAGAATTTTACATTTAGGTAAGTTAAATGTTCAATAATATCCCCTAAGTAAATGTTCACAAAGCACAACTCTCTACGAAAACATGCTTACGTACCCGCATCATGTGAAATTTATGAGGTGTCAACACCTTAAAATATCAGATCATAAAGTGTTCTAAACGAGGTGTTCCCCATAAGTCACATAGCACAAAATGAAACCTTTAAAAATAATGTATAAATGGGCTGAGACTTTTCAACTGAATTTCATTTAATGCAGCAAACTTTAAATGAACCAGGCGAGTCACTGATAGACTGATTTTACTATTAGGATCACAATGATAACACAAAATAATTTCACATAGTTAAAAATGTACAGAGGCACAGACTGACAAAAGCCTATAAATTATCATACACAATGTATTTAGAGCACAAAAGAAATTCGTATTAGAGAGTTTTAAATACAAAGAGTTAACATGTCTTGCCAGACTTCCCAGTTAAATTAACTATAGCATTTATTCATGGGGTCAACTAAGGATATTTTAACATTATTTAGAAACAGAAATTAAAATTCATATAAATACAAATATAAGAAAATTAAAAGGACAAAATGTTTCCCTCAAAGTTATTTAAGGAGAAATGCAAACATTCATATATTTTGTAAACCGGCTCCCATCCTGACAGGACTTGGCCACACCAAATGCAGTTTGGCTCTTCATAAAAATCAGTTTTAGCAGAGCTTTGACATGTGAAATACATATTTTCTACCTACCTTGAATGTTTATAAAGTTTACGAGGTCTACTATGCAATTTCCGATCCCAATTCTCTGGATCACTGGAGTTACTGTCATAAGGATGAGGCCGTCCTGCCATCCCACTTCAAGCTTCCTCACACTACTGCTCTGAAAGCACACATGAAGCACCCATAACCTACATAAAAGAGTAGTGTTGACTTTTAAATCTATTCCAAAATTCACAGAATTTTGTATCCTTTCTGACATTACTGTGACATTTTTTTAAGTGATGAACAGGATTATAAAACATCAGACACAAAATGCCACAAATCAGATTAAAATAAACACCAAAAGCCTTTTTAGGTACTTTCCGTTTGATTATTCGATTAAATTTGTTACTCCTATACAACATTTTAATAATGTGCTATTTGTATTTAGTAAACATACTTATTGACATTTGGGTACCTCATGTTTCCAAACATCAATACAGAACCAAAAGAGACAAAAGCAACTTAATTACTAAAATTTTAAGATACTTAACAAAGCATCTAGTAAGACCAGATAACAATGTTATTTCTTTAACCAAGTTAAAGACCATGAATAGAAATTTAATATTTGTTCAAAACTAAAAGTATGCAAACATCCTGATGTTTCCTTACAGTGCAATTATCAAAAAACATTTTATCAATATGATTCATGTATTTTATGCCTTTTCATATGTGAGGCTTATGACTGTTAGTTC